ATGAAAAGGCAACAACCAAATTCAGACTGCTGTCATTTCTAAGCCACTCGTCCGACAGCTGTTAAAATTATTCCAGTGACAGCTCATTATATTGTTTATAAGCGTACAAAAGCATTTTTGTGAGAATATTCCACTAAAAAAGTTATTCTTGATAGAATCCAATCGTGATAGTGTGTTTTTATATTTGGCTGGAAAAAAAAGTGGCTATCGTTAGAACACTCCAGCATATAAATGTGAACAAATCTTTTGTGTCTCGTACCATCGCTCGTTACCGTGATACTGGTGGCGTAGCCCGACGTGAAGGAAGTGGTCGAAAGAAAACAGCAACATCAACAGAAATGGCTCGAAAAGTAAAGAAGCGGCCACGTCGCAGTGGCCGAAAAATGGCTCGTGAGCTGAACATATCGCAATATTCCATTCGGCAAATATTGAAAAATGAGCTCGGGGTAAAGTCATTGAAATTTTAAAAAGTGCAAGAACTTACACCTCAGCAGAAAAAAAATAGACTCAAAAGAGCTAAAGAGTTGCTTCGCTTGGCCGAAAGTGTTGGACTGCTGAATTTGGTTTTCGACGATGAGAAAACATTCGTTGTCCAGCAGTTTTTAAACTTGTTTACTTGCCAAAGATGTCAGCTGAAAATGTGCACCTTCGGTTAGCCACCAGAACTCAAGCGCCGGCCATGGTGATGGTGTGGGCCGCCATAACAGCCGATGGTCCCTCTTCGCTCGTATTAATGGACCGTGGCATCAGAATAAATGCCAAATATTATCGCGAAAATATTGTGGAGGGTGTATTAAGGTCTCAAACATTTGGTCGCAAACCTTCACATTCCAAAGGACTCAGCACGCGCCACCCAAGAATGGTTACAAAATGAGGTTCCTCGCTTCATTTCCAGCGCACAATGGCCACCAAAATCTCCGGATACCAATCCGTTGGAGTATTGTGTCTGGAGCATTTTGGAAAGCAAGGTTGGCACTAAAAAATAACAAAGTGTCGATCACCTGAATCAAGCGCTTCGCCGGGAATGGGCCAAAATAACGCAAAGCAACATTCGGGCAGCGTGACGGATTCATTGGCCGTTTGAAGGCCATAATTCGTGCCAAAGGTGACCAATTCGAACAGATCTAAACTTATACAAAAATTTGATGCTATTCCCGACATTTTTTGTTTTCATTCAATAAAATTTAAAAATCTACGAAAAATGTTGGCGTCTGACTTTGTTGCATTTTTTATATCACCCTGTATTAAACTGTAAAATGGACCACAATTTTCGTGTGAAATTGTTTTGAATACTTAACAACACGACGGAGTGCGTAATTATTCGCCAAATTCTCCGGGTCAAAAACAAAACGGTAACATATGGGCAGGGCTCTTTGACATCATTTTAAAAACGAAATCTTCCAAAATGGATTTGGACATAAGGGGACTTCGAAAATATCGTAGTGTTGTAGGGTATCACATGGTCGGCCCCGCACGACTATAGCCTTTGCTTACTGGTTTTTTTATACCGTTGTTGTATTTCTAGGCACGTGTATGTACAATTCCTTTTACATGACCTCCATAAATAGCGGATGCTTTACAGAGCTTCAAAATATGGACGCTTTTAAAGCCCCTCTACAGATTCCAAACAAAATTTGAAGACTCTTTCTATCAAACATTGCTGTAATTAAACTTTGCTAAAAAAAAGTTCCATCCGTGTTTTGTCTACATTCATCATCATATGTTGTTGTAACATTGGCATTTTAGACTTTAAATGGCCACAGTAGCATGTTGAATGAAATAAAAACATGATCAATGAATCCAAAATATTGTGATGATATTGGACATATTTTTTCTAAAGATTTGCTGTAATTTCTTGTTTTGCTGTTGCTGGAAATTCGAGGCCTGTCGTAGAAAATTAATGACAGATCATTGTCTTCAAGTTCATTTTAAGGTTTGCATTTGTTTTTGCCAATGTCAGTATTATTTTTCTTAAAGCTACATTTTTCGCTGTGGTTTTTATTGTATACATGTTAATAATTTTTAATAATTCCATTGCAAAATTGTTGTTCTCTATATATCTCCCTCTCTCATGACATGTGACTTGGTTGTTCTATCTTGCACTCATTCAATGAGATTTGGTTCATGTACCCTATCGCTCTTTTCATATGTGAATATATGTGTGTGTGTCATTCATTAAGTAATTGAAGGATAGACTTTGATATCGAACAAAAGTAATAATAACAACAACTACCACCAGTTACATGATACATATACGAGTATAACAAAATATAAAACAAAAAACACAAATTGAATTACAGTCAATCGTGGTTATGAGGTCTTTGTTGTTCGAAATTATGGATTTCGAGCTTCGACCTATGTTGACAGCCCAGCAAAATATTTTTTTATCTGTTTAAAATTTTTTGCCTTTGGCGAGTTGTAAACACAGAACTTTTCGTTCAGACGTACAACACACTAACTATTACAGAACACCAGATTAACAAATTACGATAAAACTCTATCAAAACCAACCAAGCCAAAATTTGGCAACCAGAAATTTTCTAGGCATATGTGCCACTTTCAGAGTCACTGCAACGACAAGCTGCTGTAGCAAAGGATCGTTTTATATTGATATTTTTTGTAAACATACTCAATATGCCACAACTAATTGAAAAACATGGCCAAAATGTAAAAAATACTTTAAATCGGAATTATCCTTACAATGGGACTATTCTAAAAAGTAGACAGATATGACCCATTTTCTGTATCAATGATTCTGCATGAAATCCAAAGATCTCTATCAAGTTTCAAAGCTATATCCAATATATTACGAAATATATCTCAATCTATAGGGGTCAAAAATATAGGGTGAGATAAAAAAACTGCAACAAAATCAAACGCCATAATTTTTAAATTTTTTTTACATTTTATTGAATGAAAACAAAAAATGTCGGAAATAACAATAAGTTTAGATTTGTTCGAATTGGTCACCTTTGGCACGAATTATGGCCTTCACACGGCCAATGAAACCGTCACACGGTGCCCGAATGTGGCTCTGCGGTTTTTTTAGCCCATTCCCGGCGAAGTGCTTGCTTGGGGTAATCAATACTTTCGTATTTTTTTAGTGCTAACCTTGCTTTCCAAAATTCTCCAGACACAATAGTTCAACGGATTGGTATCCGGAGATTTTGGTTGCCATTGTGAGCTGAAAATGAAGCGAAGCACCTCATTCTGTAACTATTCTTGGGTAGCGCGTGCTGAGTGCTGTTGGAATGTCCAAGGTCTGCGGCCAAACACTCAAGGCCTCCAGAATATGTTAGCGATAATATTCGGCATTTATTCTGATGCCACGGTCGATTAATACGAGCGAAGAGCAACCATCGGCTATTATGGCGGTCCACACCATCACCATGGCCGGCACTTGAGTTCTGGTGGCCAATCGAAGGTGCACATTATCAGCTGACCGCTTTGGAAAATAAACACGATAATTTTGTTTGTTTACAAACTGCTGGACAACGAATGTTTTCTTATCGGAGAAAACCAAATTCGGCACTTCACCACTTTCAGCCAAGCGAAGCAACTCTTTGGCTCTTTTGAGTCTATTTTCTTTCTGTTGCGGTTTAAGTTCTTGCACTTTTTCGAAATTCAATGACTTTACCCCGAGCTAATTTTGCAATATTTGCCTAATGGAATATTGTAATATGTTCAGCTCACGAGCCACTGCGACGCGGGTTTCGATCAAGTCGCTTCTCTACTTTCCGAACTATTTCTGCTGATGTTGCTGTTTTCGTCCGTCCATTTCCTTGATGTCGGGCTACGCTACCAGTATCACGGTAACGAGCGATGGTACGAGACACAAAAGATTTATTCACATTTAAATGCTTAATGATGCTGCTAACGATAGCCTCTTGTGGTTTTTCAGCCAAATATGAACAAATCATGAATAACTTATTTTCTGGAAAAGAAAAACTGCTGTCGGACGAGTGGCTTAGAAATGACAGCAGTCTGAAGTTGGTTGCAGTTTTTTCCTCTTACTCTGTATATTACATACTTTCAAAACCACCTCCAAATCTCAATTCCAGATACCAACAGAGATCCCAATATCAAATTTTAGAATTAGTACTATTTTAGAATTTAGTACTATCAGTACTTTCGGACAATTATAGTACACATTTCCAAACCACCGTCAATTCTCAAATGCAGATACCATTAAATATCAAATTTGCGAATTTTAGCTCTATCCCTTGACCCAATACCACATATAGTACCATTTAGTATTTTCGTACAATTACAATGCACATTTTACATATGTAGGCTACACTTGAACAGTGATCCTAATTAGAAATTTCAAAATGCAATCACTATCTGTTCACTCAATGCCATATTGTACCAAATATAGTACTATTTAGTACTTTTTGTGCACTTGTAGTAAACATGCCCAAATCCAGTGGCCTACATATCAAATTTCAGATTTCCCGCTTCATCCATTCATCCTAAACCAAACGGTTTCAAACTTAGTATCATTTAGCACAGTTTATGCACTCGGTACATGTTTCCAAAAACACCTTAATACCTTACCTTAACACCTTAACCTTAATCAAATTTATTTCCATTCTTGATTCTCATATCAAATTTCAGTTCTTAGCTCTCTTCGTTCACACAAAAGCAAATGGAACCTTAAACCTTAAAGTTCGAATTTCCAAAAACCCTTTGACACTTCTATCCTTCTATTATTGTTTGTAACAAGCACTCAATAACGATTGTAGTTGTTCTGATTTACCCCACACAAATTTCCAATATAAACGTATATTTGTGACGGGTATATATGCTACATATGCATAGTTGTGTGGGGTATTATATGGTCGGCCAAGACCGACTTTTGACCTTTCCTTACTTTTTTGACTTTGTTGCAGTTTTTTCCTCACCCTGTATAAACATATTAAAAACTCAAATAATCTAACATTATGTGTATAACATAGCCGGGTTCTACTGTCTGTGGTTTTCTGCCATTTAAAACTTACCTTTCGAATCAAATCTCTTCACCCACATTCAAAATGGGCTGGTGCTGATACTGACTGGGGTTATAATTAGCCAAAGTATTGGGGGTGTTGTGGTGGTCGGTTGGTCGGTCGATTCGTGTTGGAGACTTCAAATATTTAATTGTTGCGTTTTTTAAATATTTTTCTTCTCTGTTATTGTTGCCTTAATCCGAATTGTGATTTTGTTTTGATTACAAAAGCTGGTGTTGTTGTGCAGTTGTTGTTACAGTTCGATTCGATAATGGCCAACAAACAAAAATAAAAACTGTTAAAACTTTTTTCTTATTGGATTTTGATTCACATTCACAAAAACAACAAACAAATATATGTATGTATGTATGGATATATACTTGCAAGAAGTAGACCATTCCATGCGCCAAAGTGAGTGACTGACTAAATAAATGGATTACGCGAAAAATGAGCGCAAATTTCGCATAAATTTCATTGAAGTTTTTTTTCTTCTTCTACTTGAAAGGGAGGGAGGTTGTGGTTGCTAACAAGGCGCCTCTTGTGAATTACGCTGCAGTATCTCAGGATTAACAAACACAATGGTCAATTGCGGTAATTTGGATTTTTTTCGTTGTTATTATTATTTCACTGGAATTGAAAACGCTCGCATTCGATTTTTGACCAAATATAGGCGTCGGATTTTTCGTTTGATTCTTTTTTCTCTTTAGTAACTGATTTTTTTTATTCTGTGGCTACCTTTTTCTTTTTGTTGCCACTGCTGCTGACTGGCCCACTCATTGACCAGCTTTAAAGCTAGTTTCAATATACAATTTTTTTGTTGCTGTTGTCTGCAGTTCTCTTTGTGCGATTGCGATTTAGAAGGGGATCTAAGTAATTGTAAGCCAAGTTATAATAGCATTATGCCAAGGTGATGAACGACGACGACGATGGTTTGAACGATTTTTATTTTATTGTGGTAGTTGTTTCTAGTTGTTTTTGTAATATTTCGTTGGAAAATTCACATTTTTATTCACTTATTTTTATTGATTTTTGTTTACCTCACACAAGGCTTGGTTTCACTCTCACAAATCGAAGAACGATCAAACGCGAAGAGAATCAACGACACACGGACGGACGGATGGACGTATATAGTCACACACTCTGAAAACGTTTATTTAACTGACTAAAACACGAAACCGTAATTTTGGTTTGACTTTTAATTCAATACACAAGTTTTTGCCAGTTCTGTTATAGATATAGATTTTCGGGACTCTTAAATTTCTTTTACAAAATTCAAACAAATTTTGAACGGTCCTTAAATATGTTTTCAGCTGTGTTATTGCAACAAAACTCACAAAGTAATCTTCAAACTTTTATTTTTGCAGCATCTTTATTTTTAGAAAATCCAAAACAATTCACTAAAATTTTTGGGCGCGTCTCAAATAAATATTTTTCACATTTCGCAGTCACTTCACTTGAGTTGAAGGGGCGGAGGTCGTATTTTGCAATGAGAATTCTTTCAACAGCCCCAATAAGCTTTTTCAAGAATGGGTTCTGTGGCGCTCAAGTCGTTTTTCTTCTGCATGCGTATCGCTCCAGTGTTTCCACTTAACTGAATTACCAACTTCCAGCACAATTGGCTTAATGCTAACCGCAATAAACAACAATACTCTGCTGCTGTTGCTGCTGCACTAAACAAACCCATCAAACAAACTTGGTAACAGAACATAGAGAGACCAAGAGAGAGGGCCCAAATATGATCGAAGCTAAGCATTTTTGCTCACAACACGTTTGTCTGAAAGCGAAAATCAAAACAAAAACCTGTAAGACAACCATTCGATCGGCCACCAAACAACAAATAGTCCGTTATCATCATAATGGCCAAGAAAAAGAAGTAAATAACTTGGTTTTAACTGGCCGACATGTGCAAGTGTATACTCAGAGAAGCTTGGTTATGTTTGGACCAACTCTCTCTCTCTCTCTCTCTCTGTATTTTGCACACAACATCCCTCATTTAATGTGCCCAGCTAGAGCTAACACTTTACAATCGCTGACTGACCCCTCTTTTTGATCGTACACCCTACTCTCTCAGCTAATGAGAGCCTAAACAAGATCTCTCTTGTGTACTCCTACTTTCATTGCACACCAAAGTACTCTAAAAAGTCCACTTAATATAATTACTGGTGGTCATAATGCGCGTGCCCACCGTTTGTCACTTTGTTTGACAAAGACATGCCAGATTTAATCAAAATATGGAGATTGCAGGGAAATTGCGAATTTTTACAACTATTTTCAAGGGACTATTAGACATACAAAGAGAATTTTTATACCCTCCACCATAGTATGGAGGGTATATTAAGTTTGTCATCCCCTTTGCAACACCTCGAAATATACACTTTAGACCCCTAAAAATATATATTTTTTGACCATCATAAAATTCTATGTTTGTCTGTCCTTCTGTGGAAATCACTCTAGCTTCCGAACGAAATGGAGTAGATCGATAAAATTTTGCTCAAATGTATATTATGTCTGCAGGACTTTTGATATTGAAAATGGGCCATGTAGGTCCACGTTATATTGATGATTTTAGAGACATTATTCACTGGAATTGTTTCAAATTTGGTATTTGAAGTTCGTAATGAATACTACAGCCTAAGACAGAAAATTGTCTGTGCAGATCCACGTCTTCGTATAGCCCCCCACATAACGGCACCTCCCGAAATTCGGTACTTTGTTGATTTTAGCGACATTATTCACCGGAATTGTTTCAAATTTGGTATTTGATTTTCATAATGGATGCTACAGCCTAAGACAGAAACTTGTCTGTGCAGATCCACGTCTTCGTATAGCCCCCATATAATGGTACCTCTCGATATTCGGTATTTTGATGATTTCAGCGACATTATTCACCAGAATTGTTTCAAATTTGGTATTTGAAGTTCGAAATGGATACTACAGCCAGAAAATTGTCTGTGCTGGTCCACGTCTTCGTATAGCCCCCATATAACGGTACCTCCCTTTTTTCGGTATTTTGTTGATTTTAGCGACATTATTCACCGATTTTTTTAAGTTTCGCATTTGAATATTTTAATGGCTTATGACAAAAGTTACCTATGTAGGTCCAAGTCGTCGTATAGACCCTAATATAGCAGCTACATTCGGTATTTTTAAGATTTTAAAAGATTTTTTAACGGATTTTATTGTTTTTGAGAATTGCCAATTCGTTCCAAATGGTGGAGGTTATTCAAAGTTCGGCCCTTACAGCTTTTTTACACGTTTTATCAATATTTGTTAAAGAATTATCAGGCATTAAAATCCGAAGATTTTTCAATATATTTGTTAGGAATATGAAAACACCACTTTATTTGGAACCACTACCAGACACAACTTGAATCCGATGTTGACCCTTCGTGGGAGAGGTATCAGAAGGACTGTACCGATACATCTCATCTTCACAGCAGATTTTGAGTTAGTAGATATAATGGAATGTATGAAATAGGAAGAGAAACGTATGCTTTGTAGGGGAGGTACCAGAAGAAATGTTCCGATATTGCCAATTTTTATAAAAGACTTTTTATTATTGAACACAAGGAAATATTTAGATGTGTCAAGTATGAATGGAATCGGATGTTAATTTCGTGTTTTATGAGCTTCTTGAATATTCAAAATATTGAGCCTTTGTGGGGGAGGTACCAGAAAGGATGGACCGATATATTCCATCTTTACACTAGACCTTGGGTTAATAAAAATATTGTGACGTGTGTAATTTGAAGACATAACATTTTTACGAGTTATAATTATTCAAAATGTTGACCCATTTTGGGGGAGGTACTTTATGCAGTGGATCACTTTCGCATCGACCTAGCACTGATACAAATATTAGAATTTCCAAAGTTGGAACAAAATCGGATTATCCTTTCTTTTTCTGTGCTATAAATTATTTTCATTGAAAATTTTGACATTTTGTGGGGGATTTACCAAAAGGAATGGACCGATATTGTCCATCTCCGAGCTCGATCTAAGTTTGACAACAATATTACGATGTACCAAATTTGGATCAAATCGGATACTCCCTTCGAGAGTTATCGTGCGAAACAGCCAGACTGGCAGACAAACGGACGGACATCGCTAGATCGGCTCCAAATGTCCTGAAACGGATTTGGTCCAAAGAGACCTAGGGTCTAAAACCCTAATTTCGATAACCAGGTTTGGGTTTTGGCTGAGGGTATAAAAACAACTTTTGACCTGTAAACATCATTTTTAAAGAAGTATTTTCGATATTTTGACAATAGTTTGAAAGGGCAAATATAGATTTTGATCTTTTATGATATAGATTTTGATCTTGAAAGGCAATAGAACGTGAGCTTAATATTTTTATACCCTACACCACATAGTGATAAAAATATTATGTCTTTCTGCATTTGTTTGTAACAAGGGGATGGAAGCGATTTATGCAGACGGACTGACGTCTGTCCGTCCGTCCATCCGTCCGTCCATGTATTCTTGTGACCTGCATTTGTTATCCGATTGAGATGAAATTTTGCAAACAATATTTGTTTGGCCCAAGGACGAATCCAATTGAAATTGGTGATAATCGGATCAGATTTAGATATGTTGAGAGGTTGAGAGGTCCCCAAGAACATCCCAAAAACGCCGTTCTCAGCAGTTGGGCATGGCTCGGTCCACTTTACAAGGGATTATTCGCATTGATTTGCATTTGTTCCCGTACAAAATTCAATTGACCCAAATAATGTTGCCTGCGGACAAGCCTCGTCGATTGGAATGGGCCCAAAGAGCCATTGGTCCGTCGAATATGGGCAACCCTGTATATCTTCAACCGATTTCGGGTTAATTGTGCGCCAAATGGCCCATATCTGTCCTAATGACCTGAATTTCGGTACATAGGACAGAATTCAGTCTAGAAGCAAGTACATCAAATTTGCAGAAAATCGGTTGAGATATATATGTTTCATCCGATTTGGTGATGATATTTGATACAAGATATCTTAGAGAGCTCAGAAATACATTTTCCAAATTGTATCAAGAACGATTAAGGTTTGGATATAGCTCCCATATACAGGGTAAGAAAAAAAACGACAACAAAGTCAAACGCCATAATTTTGACATTCTTTTATTTTTGTTGAATGAAAGCAAAAAATTTCAGAAATAGAAACAAATTTTAAAATAAGTTTAGATTTGTTCAAATTGGTCACCTTTGGCACGAATTATGGCCTTCAAACGGCCAATGAAACCGTCACACGTGCCCGAATGTTGCTCTGCGGAATTTTGGCCCATTCCCGGCGAAGCGCTTGCTTGAGGTTATCGACACTTTGGTATTTTTTAGTGCCAACCTTGCTTTCTAAAATACTCCAGACACAATAGTCCAACGGATTGATATCCTGAGATTTTGGTGGCCATTGTGCGCTGGAGATGAAGCGAGGAACCTCATTTTGTAACCATTCTTGGGTGGCGCGTGCTGAGTCCTGTTGGAACGTCCAAGGTCTGCGGTCAAAATGTTTACGTGCCCAAGGCTTTAATACACCCTCCAGAATGTTTTCACGAGCGGAGAGCGACCATCGGCTGTTATGGCGGCCCACACCACCGCCATGGCCGGCGCTTACATTCTGGTGGCCAACCGAAGGTGGTCTTTGGTAAGTAAACACGATCATTTTGTTTGTTTACAAGCTGCTGGACAACTAATGTTTTCTCATATGAGAAAACCAAATTCGGCACTTCAACACTTTCGGTCAAGTATTTTCTTTCTGTTGCTGTGTAAGTTCTTGCACCTTTTGGAATTTTAATGGCTTTACCCCGAGCTCATTTTTCAATATTTGCCGAATGGAATATCGCGATATGTTCAGCTCACGATCCATTTTTCGGCCACTACGACGAGGGTTTCAATGAAGTCGCTTCTTTACATTTCGAACCATTTCTGCTGATGTTGCTGTTCTCTTCCGTCCACTTCCTTGACGTCAGGCTACGCTACCAGTATCACAGTAACGAGCGATGGTACGAGACACAAAAGATTTATTCACATGTATATGCTGGAGTGCTCTAACGATAGCCACTTGTGGTTTTCCAGTCAAATATAAAGAAATCACACTTTCACCCTTGAATTCCATCACGAATAACTTTTTTTCTGAAAAATGCTTTTGTACGCTTGTAAACAATATAGTGAGCTGTCACTGGAATAATTTTAACAGCTGTCGGACGAGTGGCTTAGAAATGACAGCAGTCTGAAGTTGGTCGCAGTTTTTTCATCTCATCTTATGAATAACGTTGTTTACTCTCAAAATTACATACAGGGATTAACACACCCATACGGCACGACTCGAAATTCATAGCGATATGCATTCTTCTTTTATATTTTTGTTTATTTGCTTATTTCCCCCTATTGCACAGACACACATCTTCTTGCAGATAATTCAACAGATACACCACCATAAAAATGTCCAATAAAATCAATTTCAATGGTCATATTGTAATTTCGAATTTCTCTATAATTGATGCATAATTGCTTTTGAAATTTATTCTTTTCTAGATTACTTCCAATGAATACCTACATCCGATTTCATTTTCATTCTTAAGCTTAGCTTGAGGTTCAATTGAAACACCACAGCGAAATATACATAAGAATTAATATTCACATATATCGTGCCAACTGGACATTAAATAATCAATATGTACAATTTAAGAACGCTGCGGGTGGTATTGATATTTATGTGTGTAGATATAACACCGATCCGAATGGTGTACAACAACCACATGCCTCCTTTGTACA